CCCCCCGCCCCCCAAAAAAGCAAGTGATGCAATCCGATTCTTGCTGCAGGCCAGGCAATGTCAATCTGCTATTGCTATTTTTACCTCTCAATAAATCCCGAGAGCTCAATTTAGATTAAAAGGTGGGTTATATTTTAATTGTGATGCTTTCACTTCCGCAACAAAACAACCATTAAAAACAATAAAAACGTCTCTCCCTCCTATATGCTTGTGCTCAGAGAAAGATGTGGCGCAAATATGACCTGAACAACGAGCCGTTTAATAAAAAAAGTGTGATCTCATATCGACAGCAACATGAATAATGAATGCCCCGAGCTCCTGCTTCCCACTCTCTCTTTGTACTCCAAGTTTAATGACATGATTTCCATTAGAAAATGTCAGCCCGTGAGATTACCTCAGCATCGTCTCTAACCAAGAGAAGCTAATTGAATAAATTAATCATCGGGAGATCGTCGATCCACTTGTTGTTCCTCAGTGAATTAGGTTTTACAGAGGTACATCCTGTGCATCCCAGATTAGCACCTGCACCCTTTGTGTTAGATAACATGCAGCAACAGCTTGAAATTACTTAATATGCTAATAATGTTTACACCATCCATGCTTTCCACTGCCAGCTTTTTTTTTTTAGCTGCATGCAACAAACAGTGGAAAGAACAGTAAAACTTTATTAGGGCATTTTGTGTGACAGACAGTAGTCTAGACAATACTTGCAGTACTTCATGGAAAGTGCAGTAGAAGAAAAATATTTATACTGTCATGAAGGGAAAAGATTCAATGAGCCAAATGGCAGTCTAAAGACAGAAAGACAGGACTGTGGACGAGAGCCAGAGATTAATGATAACTAATGATTAAATAAAGAGTAGTGTATAAACACATGGAGAGTGAAAAGAAGTAAGAAAAGAACAGACACTAAGTGCATAATGGGAAGCCCCAAGTAGCCTATTGCAGCAGGACTAAGGGAGGGTTTAGGGTCACGTGATCCAGCCCTAACCATAAGCGTCATCAAAAAGGAAAGTTTTAAGCTTAAGCTTAATCTTAAGACTAAAGAGGGCATCTGTCTCTTGAATGCAAACTGGAAAGTTGTTCCATAGAAGACGGGCCTGATAGAAATGCAACATAGGCTATAGCATCTGCATTTAAACCAAAATGTAGCTAGAACCGTTCCCGAAAGTTACATTTTGGCACTCATGTATCAACTAATAAGTGAAAACTAACTAACCAAAATGGAAACTGGATAAAGGACAAACAACAGATTTCACTGCATCTCTGAATTATTAATAACCATGAGCCACACGGCGTGCACAGACAGCAGGGACAGAATGCAGTGAAACTTTCCATCCGGCTTCCAGCGAATGAATGCACAATGAGAAGACTTCTGTTCATCCACAGATTGGCTTTCACATTATTGGGCTGTTTAATTCTCTTTCTACTGACATATTTTACTTGCATGCAGCACCGACTGGGGCCCCTGGCCTCACCCAGGAGTCATCCCGATTGCAATATTGCATATTTTTATACCAATTAAATCAGTACCTGTATTGCTGATACCAATACTGATACTTTTTTATATAAAGGTAGCGTATGTAGGGGACAGCAGTGTGTCATGACTTATGAAATGAATCATCATCAATTTGCAAATTCTGAACACATTTTTAATGACCACTAAATCCCTGTGATTTTTACTTTCCACAGTAATTAGATAAAACAGAAAAACACACCTTTCAGCTTTTCATGTGTATTAAAACTGGGTTTTTAGGAAGATCTAGAATGTAAATGCACCCATCTCTAAAGCATTTGGGTCAGATTCTGTTCTTGCACTAGAACCACCAAAGGGGTCATTTTGGGTTAATTTGACCCCCTTGGTGGTTGTAGTGTAACTCTGTTAGACTAAATTCTCATATTTCATGACTTTTCCTATGGCCTCATTCATCCAACACTGAATCTTTGGCTGTGTGAGATAAAAATTAATAATAATTATGCCCATTTATCCTTTGAATCACCACGGACGTCTTTTTGACCTGATGGAAATGAATGTAAAAACTACTACTGCAGCACACCATGTTGCCTAGCAACACAATTGTTTACCCACATTTTGACATTAAGCCTGTTATAACATGATATAATACCTGTCTGACCAGTCTGCCAGCCAAGCTCTCACTGTGGTTGTAAAAACACCAGAAATGACTAAAGCTAATTGATACCAACGCTGGTATTGGTACAGGATCGATCCTTTGTTTATATCCTTTAAGTTCAGTATGTAGCGCAATTGACACTGAATTGTGTTACATTTATTATTATTATTACTGAAATGAAAAAAAAATACTTCAAATATTAAAAAGCACTATGAAAAATATCTGAGTGTTTTTGTGCTGTTTGCCAAATTCATTTTATTTATAGCCTATAGCACATTTAAACAACAGAAGCTGAGTGCTATATAGGCATATTTACATTCCATGTCTCCAAAAGCATAGATCAACAGAATAGCAGGGAGTATGGCAATGTTTTATTTCTGTCTACACACAGCCAGCTCCTCTGTTGGCAGACCCGATTATTTCCAAGCCTGGGAAAATCCCTCGAATGCTTTTGTACCGCGTGCTGTCTAGAGATGATGGAAAATATGCTGCTATCATTGATGGTCGGTCATATGACTGTTGACCATGTCCCTCCCACAGAAGCCTCCTCAGATGTCACATGCAGCGGTTGGAAGTCACACAAACCTGCCAAATGTTCCCACCCAGTGTAAAGTATTGTTCCAGTCCTCATTGGTGTTCAGCACATCAGCTTTATTATTGTTTGGATTTTCCATGATTTTTTCCATGATGGTTCACTCTTTCGCCTAAGTTTTAATTAGCTGTAATATTATAGTTCTAGTGTTTTAATATAATTTGGGACATATATGTATAGAAAAAGAAGCTCAGAATAGGTTTGTGAAGGCGCATGATTCACAGTCATGTGCACATCTCAGTCTTAGTGCTGGATGTGTTGACAGGTTTGAGCAATATGACCTGATTAGAGACCAGAACTAAAGACATGTTCTGCTTCATTTAGTTAGTTAGTTTTGTAAGTGCTGTTTCAGTTATAGTCCATTTTGTTTTATTGCTAAAGTGTATTTCTTTTAATTCAAATGTTTTTTCTCTCCACGCCTGTTTTTGAGTTGACTATAATAACATTGCTCCTGATGCAAAACACACACATGAGAAAAGTGAGTTAGTGCAGTCTTTTTTTCTAGTACAGGGCATGACTGATGCCGCCAATCAAAACTCAGTCTGTGCTGATATTTTTTAACTAAAAGCACATCTTTCACCAAAGCCAGTGCTGTATTTTTCCAGTTTTCAGAAAGTGATTTGTAATGTAATGTAATTCGTTTTTCCTCTTTCCTCATGCATTACCTCCAGACAAGTTCCATGAAATTTGCACTAGTAGTTTTCGCACACTCTTGCTGACAAACAGAAGTGCAAACAGCACAAACCCACATAGTTTCAGCAATGGAAAAAATGCACCATCCCCCCAGAAGGCCAAAACCTAGATTCTTATCCTGGGCCTCTACAAGACGAAGCTAAAAGATGAGATAAAAGCACTGCTCTTTGCTTTTGGCCTCATTTTAGTGGTGAAATTGACAAACATGTCTACATTTAATAATAGTAATACCACTACTACGAATAATGGCAAAGACCTAATTTTTAATGGCAAAGACATCACCCCACTGTCTGCCCATTTACCAAGTTAGAAAAAAAACTAAAACAAATGTGGCGGATATCTTCTTGTTAGTACTCAGTTTAAAAACAGATAAGCTCCTTTTTTTCACTATTCACAATAAATTTGCTGGTTTTTACCCTGAAACAATGCAACACTTTAAGTGGATTCACACATATTTTCTGTTGTTTTTTTTTTTAAAAACTATTATAAAGTCCTTTATTTCTTATAGTATAATTTGTAATGTAGAAAAACAAAGAAGAACCCCCCCAACACACACACATGCACACCCAAACAAACAAAAAACAAAAAAAGCCCAAAGGTCTACAGTAATGTTTTAAAAGTCCCACGGAAATTTTAGCCTACTACTAACTTCCTCTTTTTTGCCAGTGGAATTCTCACATAACGTCTGTGGACAGGAAATGAAGGACCACGAAAACATTAGCACTTTCAGGCAAAATAGGACATCTAAATTTTATCTCATTGTATTACAAGATACTTTGGTCAATTAATTTACTCCTATTTGTGAGCTTATTATTTAGAAATATTTCAGTCATTGCTTGTAATTTTCACACCAACAGCGAACAGATAAAGCCCGTGCCCTAAATCGGTTCTGCTTCACTTATTTTGAAAGTGCAGTAACCGGAAATTGTGTTATAGTCTCCCCCTGCACGTTCTGTACGTTCATACGTCAATGTAGCGGATCAATGACAAAAGAGGGCTGTGTGGTAGTGCCCCCTAAACATGCCTGTTTTCCCCGGGGTTGCATGCTCCATATGACCCGGGATGGGACTCTCCCCGCCGCCTAAATCAGCGATTTAGTTCACTGAAGCGCCGGAGCTGGAACGTTAAAACAAACAGAGGCTAACGGGCTGTTTATTTATTCAAGAGAAGATGGCGGAGTTCTCGCCCGTCCTGCCGATGCGGGATGGAGGAGGACGATTTGCCCAGCCCATCTTCCCTCGGTCCAGGTCCGGTTCCGAGTCAGAGAGTGAACTGTCCCAGAGTCTGGCCCGGACCAAGATCCGCTCGTACGGCAGCACAGCCAGCGTCACGGCCTCCCTGGGGGAGAAATACATAGAGCATCGGGTTACAGACAGCGATACTCTGCAAGGGATTGCTCTCAAATACGGTGTCACGGTAAGGTCGCTTCTCGGCCATAGATAGCAGTGTATGCGTTGATGTTTACCTTGACGGAACTAGAGATTGCATTAAACACACCACACTGACAGATAAGAGGAGCAAACACTGAAACGGACACAAGGGAAGGCATTTTCTCTTACTTTCCACTCTCTGATTCTACTAAAAGTCACGCACTAAGAAATCCGAGCCCAGAAAGTTGTCCGTAAACTTTCTGGATTGTGACTGAACACCTGGGGACTATTTCCGTTCACCTTGAGAGAACAGAAGCTCACTTCCATATTTTACTTTCGCTTTTACTCCTAATGTAAACGTCAGGCAGTACTGAGGACCCCCCAAATGCAGCAAAATTATTCCAATTTGAAAGAGGCGTGAAATATTTGCTTCGAGGGTTCAGAGTTTCCACTCTGAGTTCAGATGGGTGAGAGCAAAAGTTTGACGAGCTTGCTGTGAGGATGATCACTTGGTCAAAAATGGGCTCTACCTGAGTGTCGACATCTCCAGTTTCCTCAAAAAGTCCAGTTTGTGAAGTGACTCTGCATGATTCCTATCCAGGGTTAGAATAAGTAATCTGCTTCACATGCAATGCTATATTCTCTTAATAAAAAACAATACGCACACACATGCAGGATATTTACCTGCCGTGAGTTAACCACTTCCTGTTTCTTGTTTATTTTTACCCGAAATGACCTCTGAAACAGCCGAAAAATACCCTGCCAGTCACTTCACTGGTTCCCAAATGTAAAACACAAGTTTTACTTTGTTTGAAGGGCTGCTGACAGAACTGACTGATGTTCAGACTGCTGTGACTTCAGGGAGTGAAAGTGTTCCTCTAATATATTACTAATATATTTAAGTTTAAAGACTGGGCTTTTGTGTAAAATAAATAAATACCATATACACTCATCAGCCACTTCATTTGATACATCAGCTGCTGGTTATAGCAAGTGTGTAATTAGCCACCCGCATGGCAGCAACTCTGTGCATTGCGACATATAGACATGGTCACGATGACTTGCTGAGCATCAGAAAGGGGAAGAAGAATGATAGAAGTTACTTTGAACATTTCATGGTTGCTGGTTCAGGATGGGCAGCTGTGAGTATTTCAGAAACCGCTGATCTACTGGGATTTTCCCACACAACTCTGGGGTTTACAGAGAATGAAGAATAAGAAACAGAGAGCGAGAGTCAATCCTCAGGGAGAAAATGCCTCGTTGCTGCTAGAGATCAGAGGAGAATGGCCTGACGTCTTCGAGCTGATAGGAAGGAAACATTAACTCAAATAACTGCTTGTTACATTCAAGAAGAAGCAGAAGAGCATCCTGAGTGCACGTGTTGAATCTTGAAGCAGATGGCCTACAGAAGCAGAAGAAGACCACATTGGGGTCCACTCCTGTCAACTAAGAACAAGAAACAAAGCCTACAGTTTCCACAGGGTCATCAAAATAGGACGAAAGAAGATTTCAAACAATGGTAAATGGACTGGTTCTTATATAGCGCTTTTTCTACTCTTCTGAGCACTCAAAGCGCTTTGCACAACTTGTGCATTCACCCATTCACACCCATTTGCACAAGTGCATTTTTTCTAAGTGCTTTCTAAGTAACATTCACACACACTCATACTCCGATGGATGCATCGGAGAGCAATTTGGGGTTAATATCTTGCCCAAGGATATTTGGCATGCAGACAAGGGGAAGCCAGGAATCAAACCACCAACCTTCCGATAGGGATCAATTCTGGATAGGGTCAGAATTGATCATAAACAACACAGAAGGTTATGTCCCTCTTGTCTCCAATGGTTGTGGACGGTACATCAGATTGAATGTCACATCTACCCGAGTATTGTCGCTGCTTTATGCAGGATCACAAAGCTCAAGTCATCTCAAATTGGTTTCTTGAGCGTGACAGTGAGTTTCCTGTACTCAAATGGCCTCCGCAGTCACAAGATCTAAATCTAGCGGAGCATCATATTGACGTGGTGGAACAGGGCATTCTCATTATTGACGTACAGCCGATAAATCCACGGCAACTGTATGATGCTACGCTTTAAAGTCAATATGGAGCAAAATCTCTGAGGAATGTTTTCAGTGCCATGAAGAATTAAGTCAGTCCTGAAGGCAAAAGGCGATTCAAACCGGTACCAGCAAGGTATAACTAACCATGTGGTCAGTGATTGTATTTAAAATACTGCTACCAAATATAGATACGCAGATATAAGATGATTTTCTTTTCAGATGAGAGGCAGGGGTGCCATCAAAATAAGTGTGTAAGGAGAATTTCATCAGAATTGATTAAATAGAGTTTTAACATTCCCTTTTCTTTCTTTCTTTCTTTTTTTTTTTTTTTGCTGTCATCTTCCAGATGGAGCAGATCAAGAGAGCCAATAAGCTGTTCAGCAATGACTGCATCTTCCTGAGGAACAGCCTCAACATCCCCGTGGTGTCAGAGAAGCGCTCCATATTTAATGGACTGTCTCTCGAGTCTCCTGATGGGGATGGTGACACGGCTTGCCAGGAGGCAGACGCACCTTGTATTATCACGCAGGACATCGAGGGACCCTCGCCGCCCCCTTCCCCGCCCCGTGAGCACTCCAGACCTCCTCAGCCAGAGGAGCTGTCAGCCAAAGACTTCTTACATAGACTGGACTTGCAAATTAAACAGTCAAAGCAGGCTGCGCGCAGACTGAAAGAAGAAGAAGAAGTGAGGTGAGGTGTTAAACAACAGCCAGCAAACTGCTTCCTCTTTTATGTGTGCTGATAAGTAACCACTTTCGTACTATTTTTGAGAGCACCATTGCTCATATCAGGTTTTTTCCTCTGGGCCGCTGCTTCTCACACTGGTGCTTTCTTCTAAGGATTGCATCCAATCAGACTTTGTTCTGATTGACCTTTGCCTCATGGTCAGATGCAAAAATTAATACTGTGTCTTGGTTTGGTATCAACCAATGACACGACATAAATGCCAAGTCATTTTTTTTCAAGCGTAGTAGACAGGAAACAGCATAATGTTTGCGTGTTTTGACCTCGATTGACCAATGTTTCACCTTCTCACGTGTCCCCACACAGATGTCACTGCAGGGGCTCGCACACTTGCTTTTAATTTTCCAGACAGCTTCCTGCTCTTTTCTCACATGGGCGCAGTCCAGAAAAGTTCAGGGCTGCAGTGAATTTGCGGAAACGGCTTACAGTGCAGCGTCGTCTGAAGTGAACCGCTCTCATCTTCTCTTTGAGCTCAGCGGGAGCTCGTCAGAAATCCCAGTCAGCATGAATAAGCCCTTTTAAAATGTTCTCACAGAGAGAAGATCGAAGCTAGGAGTACAGGTTTTTGCCGTTCTGCAGTACTAGTCAGGTATTTAGTGTGAGATCTGACTTGCCCTCGCACGTCCTACCTCTGCGTGCTGAGGCAGAGAAACCGGTCGCGTCTGCTCAGTAGTGAAGCAGCAGTAAGTGCCTGGCGTACAGCGTTCATAGAGAAACGGGCTTTGTTGGTACTATCACTTTGGAGGACTGAGTCACGCTGTGAGTCATATTGCTCCCGCTATCTAGTATTTAACTTCAATATTTGGTTCACACATTCGCCCAACAAGCAAAAGATCCCCCAGTTCGATCCCTGGAGGAGATATGTGTCCTTTGGGGGGCAGTTGTGTCATGAAGGGCATCCGGTGTAAAAGAAAAAAGCAAAATCTGTCAAATTAAATGTGTGCATCTGCCCGATGTACTGAGCCCCTCGTGAATAAGGGAACAGCTCAAAGTAGATACTACATTTGAGAAAATAACCATTCCTGCGTTCTCTTCCTATAATATATATATATATATATATATCCACCTTTACTGCCTACATACATTACAGTGCAAAATTGTGTCTCTCATTTCATTATTACACACTCTATTCAGCTCATGCATTTCCTATGACTCTATTTTTAAGCACAGATCTGTGCTTTTAACTCTAAATCTGTGGTTTGGTGTTACAAAATGCATCAGCTTTTAATTTCTCTTTCAGAGTTCGCCTGCTGGCTTTGTCAAATCTGTGCTCTGTGTTTAGTCCCGCTTCTGACTTCAGTCACATAAAAGGCTGCCTTATAGTGTGTTTAGGCAAACAAAGGCGCACTCCCTTGTTTATACAGAGTGCTAGGGCAAACACGAGCAGCGTGCCTGCTTGACTTTAATGCCTGGGATGAAATGAACCACAAGCCCCCTTGAGCTAAACCAATGACGGGCCCAGTTCTCCCTTCTGAAGACCTTCTATCATTTGTGCACCCGTGGCTATTATATTACAACAAGTTAGGAATACAGCACAGATTAATCTGTAAAATTATGTTTGCATGTTTCCCTCTGTCCTGTAGTCCCACCTGTCTGCCTTCTCTTGAATATAATGGAAGTAGCTGGCACTCCTTTTAGGAGTCAAAGTTCTTAGAAAAAAAACCCAAAACATTATCCAGTTTCTCAGAAAATAGGGCAAAAATTGTAAGAACTGTTTTTCTTCTACTGTCTGCATGGATTCTAGCTAACATTGTAGCTTCAGTGAGAGGGAAATAAAATTGCTTCTACAGAAACGTCTCACAAAGAGGTCTGTGGTTTGGTGTTGTTTGTAACTGGGTCATGTTTTAGTGAAAGTATTCACCTCTTCAGTGTATTTTCAACTGCAGGTGCTATTCGGTAAGGTTAGTAACATTCAAGAGATTACAGACACCCTCGCTGAAATTTTCAAAACTAGGCAGCTCATGTTAGAACGGTCTCAATAGCTCCAGAGGTTTGAATTAAAAGTACATACATTTGATTGGTGGAATAACCATTACAGAAACATAAACAATGTCAATAAAAACAAATGTTTGTTGTTTTTTTAATTACCGATACTCTTAATGTAGGACAGCTGTGGGATAAAGCTGTCCTAGATGGAGGTGTGATATATCTGTTAAGAACTTTGTGTGTTTATATGTATATTTTCAGGAAATCTGTAATCTAATGGCCGCCACACATTTGAACTACATAACAACATAACTGGAATGTGGTGAACCAGTTAGGTTTCTGTGAGGGTTTATTGAAAGCCAAACTACACTGAGAGTAAGTTATTTGTGGTTTAAAAGATTGATTTTATCCTAAGTCGAAGGAAATCCACCACATCGCATTACCGATCATTTCGCTTTTTACCCTCAAAATTGTGGTATAAAACCTTTTTTGCATCCTCTTTTGATGTTCATCCTCTCATATTTCAGCCTCTAGTTTAATAAACTCTCAGCAGCTTCACTGTTGCTGCAGTAGTCGTAAAAGCGAATGTTAACACTTGTGATGGATCTCAGGACATTGATGTTTTATACTGATCGGCCCACTTTTTCTGAACATGTGAGCTCTGAGCTGTGATTGAGAACGAGGCAGCGACTTGGTCAGCCTCGTCCAATATTCACATCCTTACCTACACTGAAGAGGAGTGAGGCGTAAAAGAGAGTATGTGTCTGTAATCGTATTGAGGTAAAGGCTGTAACATGTTTTTTTACATTTCCTCTTGTTTGCAGGAGCAGCGAGGAGAATTACGCGGCCCCCACGACATCATACCAGGAGATCTAAAGAGCAATCTGTTTACCCAAAGTCTCGGACACGCTTGCCCACGCACACAAACACTACCGCAGCCTCGTTGCTTTTTTCTTTTTACCTTTTCATGTTTACTGAACCGCGTTCAGCAAGTGTCATTTCTGCCTTTTTATTTATTGAAATGCAGTTCTTATGATGTACATTACAAGCCCATTTCCAAGACTGCTGCTGTGCTGTGTGAAATGTAAATATTAACTTAGCCTGTCCTGGTGGTCATAGGTCAAAAGGCAACACACATCCTGGATATGTTGCCACTTTATCACAGGGCAACCGTTCCCACTCCTACCTATAGTTAATTTAGACTCGCCACTACCAGAAGCGAAGACGCTCATATCTATGGAAGCTTGTTTTTGCCAGAGGAAAAAAGTTTTTCAATCCACAAGTCATCATTTCAAAATCATTTCAAAATTTCAAGGTAGGCATCTGAGAAACTGTGCCAGAAACAAGCTTCCTATAGATCTGCCGCCATGCAGGGAGGTCTAAGCAAGACAAGGCCAGACCACTTTTTTGCACATTTTCCAGCAGCGTGGCTCTGGAGAGTCTGGGTGCTAAACACCCACTGAAAGCTCGTGACACATTACAAAAACCAAATCTCCCAACAGACACTCCAGACTGTTCCGTTAAGAAAAGGAGGTGATATAACACGGTAGTGAGAGATGTGCGCCTGACTCAGCATTTTGGCATCCAATTCATAAACGATAATTTATTCTTGTTAAAACAATGTTTTCAAATTCGTCATGCTGTGTTCATGATACGTCTAGATAAATCTGGGGTTTAAATATATGTATGTGTATTTTTTTTAAATTTCCATTTTACATGGCACATCTCCTGGAAGTAGGTTTGAGGGTATTTTTTTTTTTTTTTTGTAGTTTCACCAAGTCGCTCACATCTCATCTGGAGGAGCATCTGAGCACACGTGCCCGTCCACATATGATATGCTTGCAAAGCTGCTGTACAGAACCTACCTGCTGCATATGTTCAGATACACACACACACACACACACACAGGGCGCTAAGCAATGCCAGAAGGATTAGCTTGTTAGACTTGCTAACCGCTTCTGATGTTCTAAATCTCCTCCTAGAATAGGATCGTCGGAAAGTATATTCAGGCCTTCCTCATCAGTGTTTACTCGGTTCGAGCTCACCCCACACGGAGGCGGTGGATGGACTCAAGCCTTTGAACGCAGTTCCATTTGCCCTGTTTGAGAACAAATGGGACCGCTCTTATTATTATTTTGTTTTGTGAGTGTGATTGCATTATTTATGTGTGGAGAACTGTCTGTATCAACTGTTTTATTGTGCTTTTAAGTTCTATTGGGTTTTATTTGGACAGAATAAATGCATATTTAAGCAAATATTAAGATCAAGAGTTTTTTTTTTTTTCGATGTTCCCTTCCAGTGCTGCTTCTTCATCACAGTCGAGCACAGTCGAGTAAAGAAAAGGCAAAGTTTTAATTGCTTTTACAACTTTAGGAAAAAATCACAAATATTTACATTTAAAAATACTTCATCTGTTTTTCCTCTACAGAGATAGAAATGTTGAACTCAAAAGACATGCAGAGAGAACTGATTGAGTCAGACACCGCCCCCTATTGGGCTCTGGAGGGATTACAACAGAACAGGCATACATAGGGCACTGACATACACAACAAATATATTTTTGGTAAAGTAAAAAGCGAGAGTACATTGGGAGCTTACACATACACTGGAGGGGGAAAAATAAATGTAGGCTAACACAGGTTAAATACAATGAGAATAACTTGATATATGCATGTTTTGCTGTAAAATTGTATGGAAAACAGTTATGACAAAACTACGGCATTATACCCAAAACATTCATGTCCCATTGGAGTCAGGTTGGAGTAAAAGCTAGCACTAAAATCTGACAAGTGTGATTTTCCTCTTAGCTCTAGTGATTATTACTCTGATCTTGGCGTGCAAATATAATCAGTTCAGTAGCTGGAAGGAATAATTTAAGGTTTTTTTTTTTTATTGTGTTGACAGTATTATGAATTCCCATTTCTTAATACATATGGGAATCTCCGGGAGTTCCCCTAAGCAGGTAGGTTTGAATACAACATTTATACGTTACCATGCCTTCGGTAATAATAAGTTGTAATCTGGGCTTTTTTGAGCATTATTCATATCAGATTGAGCCCTGGTGTGTGTGGTTTTTAGGCCGGGCTGGTTACAGGATGGACAATAGTGTTACAGACTGCTGTAGATCCTCTTGATGGTGTCTCCTTCGTCTTTGGCGATGATGCCCTTCTCGATGTATGAATCAACCTGCTGGTCCATGAAATCCTTCAGCTTGGACAGGTCATAATCTGGAAAGATGAGGAAAACAGGAGAAGATCGTGAGGTTAAAGGAAAGATCAGACATTCTAGAAGTGCTGTCTTTTTAAGATGGCACACCCAAACAGGGTTCAAGGAGGATTAAGGTCATTTTTGTCTTAGGCCGAAATGCACGAAATGAAATGAGGTCAAAAGATCTCAGAGCGAAACACACTTGCCAGTTAAATAACTGCTAACTAAAAGACTTTGTGACATTGTTTTCCACCATGCTCTAGACAACTAATTGTCATTTGAAACTGCACCATATGGCTGTAGCTATATTTAGAGTTGAACACAGCGTAACTCTGTATTATCCATCATGGTAACAAATGAGTGCAGGCAAACAGCTGCCGCAACACCAGCACCCCTCTCTGCGCTAACAGACTCTGAGTAAAGTGGCTGCAGGAGGCTAGAGGACAGCCAACAAGTCCCACAGTCACTCCCAAGCATCTTCCTAACAACATTTCTAACGGAAGCAAATTATTAAACTGCTCGAAGATACAGTTGATTTGACGGACATGATGTGCGTGAAGGATTAGCAGGATGTAATTAGAGACAGCACTACTTCTCTCAATCTTGGCACTGAGGAGCCAAGAGCCCAAACCAGGATGCGGCCTCTACGTCCATCTGCTCTTCTGGCTAATCTCTGTGGTGCGTAGGCGTAAACACACACAGAGTCTGCTGAGATTGTTGTAATGGGTACTTCTGGCAGAGTGAGCACAATAAATGGCCCATCTTACACTCTCTGTTTCTATGAGGGTGTTTTTTTGTCTAACACTCTGAAAGAAGAGAGGACGAGGAAGACGAGAACTTTAGAGAGCGTTTTAAAGTGGTACAAGCTGTGCTAGATAAATAGGGCCTGGCGGTGTGTCGTTTTAGTTACCGAGTGTCTCGGTATGGGAAAATTGGGTGATTCTCGGGCACATTTTGACCCTCTGTGTGTTCAGCCTGAACTTGTCCTTTCTTACACCAGTATCAGTCTGTCTCCTGTCCAGATCACTGACAGGCAGGCAGGGAGGCCCTCTGTTGTCCCAGACAACTCCTCCACGCACTTGAATGCTAATGAGGTGTCCTATATAGAGCAAGGTCAGAGATGAGCTCCAGACAAAACTTCCCTGCTGCTTTGCTCCTCTCTGCTATTCAGTGCTTTAAGCTCACTGTCAGTCTCTTGCTTTTCTTCTCTTTCCCTTCCGTGTTTAAGATCCACACGAGAATCTGGGTCACACTTTGTTTTTTGTTTTCTTTAATTCCTGTGTTTGTCTGGTTCACTATTGATCAGCTCAGATTAGATCAAGCCTGCCAGCACAACAGATATAAATCTCACTTAGCTGGAACTGTTTACTTTTTTTCTTTTTTCGCTGTTTTTGTCTGGGATTTCCTACTGAGATGATCGCCATTGGGTGGATGGCCTCAATAGTGAGAACTCATTAACATTTCATTCTGCTCTGCTTAATTAAGCACCACTGGGCATCGATTTTACTCTGTGGAGAGCCCAACAGCAGGTTCCTATTGTTAGACGAGTGCACTGTAGTGTGTGAAACGTCCACAGTTTCCACAGATCTGCAGACTTTCTTTATGGAAACCGATTGTTCCGGGAAAGAAATACATTTGAAAATATACAAACATTACACAAAAATCCCGAGACAGATGCTGATGCCTGATATTTTAGTGTTGTGGAGCAGGGTAAGTATCATTAAATATATTTCTTCTTCAAAGATGCCATCAATGATGAGGAACAGGTAGGAGGGAATAAATGAACTGACCTTTGTCTCTGAACAAGCCAGCTGTATCACAGCAATTAGGACAACTCATTTACAGTTATCCATATTCATGAGGTCTGGAGTGGAGCGTCTATGTTAGTATCCCACTCTCTTTGAAAATGCAAATCAAGGCAAACAAAAGAGGCTTCAATTTTTCCTCTTCTTTGCCGCGTCGCCTCAGACCTGTGATCTACAGCTGTTCAGTAAGGAGAGGACAGCTTCTAGTTCTGGCTCATAGTGCTCAACAAAGCCGTTCAGGACTCAGCGTGGAAATGTTTGTGTCTTTTGCACAAAAAGCAGACACACGAGAACGAGGTCTGTATCCAGTTTTTCTCATCTATTGTCGAACGTGAGGACACGTCTCACCATCTTTGCCCTCTTCTTTGTTGTGTTTCTTCAGCCACTCGATGTTCTTCCTGATGGCCTCCAGATAAGTCTCGGATTTGCCAGGCCGATCTGGAGTTAGAGGAAAGGGGAAAATGAAGAGAAAGGCAGGCGACGAACCGGCTCGTTAAGATATTACAAAATGCAAAAAATTTCAGCTCAGGTAAGCTTTGTTTTCACCAAAGAATCAGTCTGTGCTGTCTTTGGCATGTCAATTATTTATAGCTCAAAACTCTTCAAAAGCAAAAAGCGCACTTTGTTTATTTTTACTTTTTTCTTTCAGAAGCCATGGAAACACAGATTTTGACAACACAAGATTTTTCCTTTAATAACTTGGCAGCACAATAAAGCACTGCTGCTGAAATCAGATGCCCACTTTAAAAAAAATGGTAGAAATGGTGCCTGTTTCCCCCCCAAAATCAAAATCCTTTTGACAGTTTACTGGTTCTTACTAAATAAAGCTTCTTCTCTTTCATGCCCACACACACCCTGAACGCCTCCTCTTGCGCTGTATAACTTGGGTTATTCAGATGCACTTCCCCGCAAAATCTACAGCACCGTGTCCCACACCAGTGAGTGTGTTTTCATCTAGTTATCGGAGAAAGTCGCTAAAGAAGTTAGGAAAACAAATCGGGACAGGAAGACCAGAGGAAATCTCAGAATGAAAAAGCTGAACAACCTGGTTGTTGGACCTTTAAGTATCATTTGCTATACTCTGTCATCATAAGACAAGTCAGCCCCTTTTCACACAGGTTTAGGTGTGGGCTTGGTTAGATTACTAACCCCAGTATTGCTAATTTGTTTTGAAGTGATGGTTTTTACTATTCTAAAGACAGGAAGGATAAGCAAACAAATCAAAGGTGTGTGACACAACCATTGTTTTCCTCATTCATCATGAACAAACCAGCAGGAAAACAAGTTTTGGAAATAGTATAAAGCCACACTAGTGACAATGATGGAGTGGTTACTTTTCCTTCTTTTCTAAACTCAACTGGTTGATCTTTGGGTCAATGTGACAAACAGCTGCAGAAACTTCAACATCCATTACTGCACTGCACTGGAAAAGGGTTCTGAAATTAGCATGTCCGCCCAAGTGTGATGTGTTCTTTCAGAGCTTATCAGAGCTGGGCCTGATAAATGGCTATTCCAGAGTCACGTAAGCCGGGACTGAATGACAGTTGTAATCTTTCCCCTTGGAGTCAAAAGCCAGACCTTAGCGAGGGTTGAAAGCAGGCCTCAAGTGTTGGTTTGCATCGAGATAATGATCATGTTTTATACCCTGTAACATTCACCGCTTGCAATCAAAGACATGTATAGTTTCACTTTCTGACACAGAAAGCTCAGTTACAGTTATATATTTCAGCAAACTTGCAATGATTTGATGAATCACACATCAAATTTGGATTTTAACCCAATATGTTCCGTAAATATCATATTATGCAACTCAGCCTTTTAACATGCAGATAAACCAGAGTTTAGTAGGCAGCACTTCATATTTCCTTCATTTCCTGCTGAAATGTCATGGTGGTAATCCTGCTCTGTGATTCATTTGTTTTTCCTCTTTATGCACTCCTGTTTGTGTGTGCGTACATGCGTGGATTAGATTGATGAGTGGGTACAGCACAGCAGACAGGGACACAGAATAATGGCAGCTGTGACAAGCTTTCCTTTGAGTGCTATTGGACTGGCCTAGTTCAGGGACTCGAATACACAGCGCTGTATATTTCAGTGGCAGCTCTGCTGAAAAACAAAATGTCTGAAATTGTAGTCAGCCTAATAGTCAGGTAGGAAAGGATGATTTGCTTCAAAGAGCTAATCTTGTGGGATTTGCAATATTTGTGACTCATGTATTTATTTGAGATGTTTGGCACTAAACAAACCCTAAAAAAATTATGCAAGAAAAGAATTACAGGAGCGTAGCTTATTGCTTTGCAAGGGCAAAACTGTTAGATAGCATCAAATTATTTTAGATTTTTCTTTTTAAATCACAGAAAAAAAGATGATTAGGTAGTGGACTGACTGGTCTCAGCTGATGGCTGCTCTTCCTTGGTCGAATCTTTCAGGTTCTCATATTCCTTCTTCATCTTGGCAGCTTCAGCTTTGGTGTTGTCATCCTCATCCAGGTTTTTCCCTACAGCAAAGAAACAGGACAGGAATCCTTAAAAAAAATCCTGGTCTGTTGCTGACAGCGATGCTTAAAGCTACAGGTGAACAACTTCATTGTTTAGTTAAATTACTTACATTGTATACTTTGTTTAGTCTTTAAAAAAATCTGATTTGATATTGTAAAACATTAATACATTTTAATGGTGGATTGTCCTGCAGGCTGTATGTCTAGATGAGTGATGTTGCTCAATAGCACACAAGAAGTAGCATGTAACCATCTAAATTACTGTTTTCAGGTCCACATTTAGAAAATGTTAAGCATGATGCAGTGTTCTCACTGGTGAGCTTTGGGGTGTTGCTAGGTGGATTTAATCTTCTAGTGTAGACAGTGGGGTGTTTTTAGTGTTAAGCTAAGCTAACTGGCTAATGGCCAGAAGTGCATTCTTGCCTTTAGCCGGTTAGCTTAAGCAGAAGGGCATTCCTGATGGAAAAAAAGTAAAATAACTGAACTGAAACTATTAATGTGTTAATAATATAGGTTAATGATAGTTTCAAGGTGGTTGGTGCCTGCCGTGGTGGTAATCCCCGAACCAAATGGTGGACACCAGAGGTGAAGGGAGCCACCAGGCTGAAGAAGGAGGCCTATCGGGCTTGGTTAGCCTGTGGGACTCCGGAGGCAGCCGACAGGTATCGACAGGCCAAGCGGAATGCGGCTCGGGCAGTGGCTGAAGCAAAAACTCGGGTGTGGGAGGAGTTCGGAGAGGCCATGGAAAAAGACTTTCGGACTGCCTCGAAGAGATTCTGGCAAACCGTCAGGCGTCTCAGGAGGGGAAAGCGGTGCTCTACCTGCGCTGTGTATAGTGCTGGCGGAGCGCTGTTGACGTCGACTGAGAAAATTGTCGGGCGGTGGAAGGAATACTTCGAGGACCTCCTTAATCCCACTGACACGTCTTCCGAGGAGGAAGCAGAGTCTGGGGATGAGGGGTATGACCCGCCAATTTCCGGGGGCGAGGTCACTGAGGCAGTTAAACAACTCCTTGGTGGCAGAGCCCCTGGTGTTGATGAGGTCCGCCCCGAGTTCCTGAAGGCGCTGGACGTTGTAGGGCTGTCTTGGTTGACACGTCTCTGCAATGTTGCGTGGAGATCAGGGGCAGTGCCTGTGGACTGGCAGACCGGGGTGGTGGTCCCCATCTTTAAGAAGGGGGACCGGAGGGTGTGTTCCAACTACAGGGGGATCACACTCCTCAGCCTCCCTGGGAAAGTCTATGCCAGGGTGCTGGAGAGGAGAGTTCGTCCGCTAGTCGAACCTCGGATACAGGAGGAACAATGCGGTTTTCGTCCTGGTCGCGGAACACTGGACCAGCTCTTTATCCTCTCCAGGATACTTGAGGGTGCATGGGAGTTTGCCCAACCAGTCTACATGTGTTTTGTGGACTTGGAGAAGGCATTCGACCGTGTCCCTCGGGGTGTCCTGTGGGAGGTGTTGCGGGAATATGGGGTGTCTGGCCCATTGCTACGGGCCATTCGATCCCTATACAACCGTTGCAAGAGCTTGGTTCGCATTGCCGGCAATAAGTCGGACTCGTTCCCGGTGGGTGATGGGCTCCGCCAGGGCTGCCCTTTGTCTCCGGTTCTGTTCATAATTTTTATGGACAGGATTTCTAGGCGCAGCCAAGTGGCGGAGGGCTTTCGCTTTGGTGGCCTCAGAATCTCATCTCTGATTTTTGCGGATGATGTGGTTCTGTTGGCTTCATCGGGTGAGGGCCTCCAGCTCGCACTGGAACGGTTCGCAGCCGAGTGTGACGCAGCGGGAATGAGGATCAGCACCTCCAAATCTGAGGCCATGGTTCTCAGCCGGAAAAGGGTGGAGTGCCCACTCCGGGTCGGGGATGAGTTCCTGCCCCAAGTGGAGGAGTTCAAGTATCTCGGGGTCTTGTTCGCGAGTGATGGGAGAAGGGAGCCGGAGATCGACAGATGGATTGGGGCTGCGGCTGCAGTAATGCGGACGCTGCACCGGTCAGTCGTGGTGAAGAGGGAGCTGAGTGTAAAAGCGAAGCTCTCAATTTACCGGTCGATCTACGTCCCTACCCTCACCTATGGCCACGAGCTGTGGGTAGTGACCGAAAGAACGAGATCGCGGATACAAGCGGCAGAAATGAGCTTCCTCCGAAGGGTGGCTGGCCTCTCCCTTAGAGATAGGGTGAGAAGTTCGGCCATCCGGGAGGGGCTCAGAGTAGAGCAGCTGCTGCTCCACATCGAAAGGAGCCAGCTGAGGTGGTTCGGGCATCTGGCAAGGATGCCCCCTGGGCGCCTCCTGGGCGAGGTGTTCCAGGCATGTCCCACCAGGAGGAGGCCCCGGGGCAGACCCAGGACACGCTGGAGAGATTATATCTCTCGGCTGGCCTGGGAACGCCTTGGTATTTCCCCGGACAAGCTGGAGGAGGTGGCTGGGGAGAGGGAGGTCTGGACCTCTTTGCTTAGGCTGCTACCCCCGCGACCCGACCTCGGATAAGCGGATGAAGATGGATGGATAGTTTCATTAATGTCTGGCATGTCTGGAGGATAGTCTGTGCAGCTGTTTACCGTTTGGTCCAGTAAACTCAGGTGGCAGGAGAGGTTTGCCCAGCTTGTTCTTGGTCTGCATGGCTATCATAGCGTCCAGGTTCTCTGCAGGTGTATGAAACACAACAAACAATTTAGATTTCATATTAGATTTCATCAGCGTCACGCTGCTGCTCCACAGTGAATGAAAGCCTCTTAAGTGCTTGAGTGACCCGCACTGTTCCTGTGTGACTCAGAGCCTGATTATCATTTAAATCGAGTGTCATCTAATTACTGAAAAGAAGTCTCAGGAGTACAACAAAGGGATAAACATAATCTTGTGTTTTCCACTATTACTTCCACTGATTTATTTATGCATGCAGTATGAGAAGAGCCCTCACAGAAATCATTTATGTACAAAGCAGTTAACAGTGAGCTAAATCTATTTATTCTCTTTTAATCACTCATAAAGACAAAAAAAAAATGGCTGCATTTATTTGGGGGGGATAGACCAGGTATGCATATATGGTCATGATGGTCTCACTTAGGTGTTAGAAAACATGGAATGAGACAACCAGGTAATGCAGCTTAATGAGACATCCAGTCCTATCTGGATTAACAAAGGGGTGAACCTCATGTTCAAAAATAAAGGAAGCAGATGTTCTCAGATGTACCTCACAGTCCCCTCATTTAGCATTTAAAAGATTTATTTACGCATTTAATCCCTACAGTGCATTTATGAGCAGGTAGAAGGACTCTTAAGTGTTTTTTTTATGTATTCTGTGAAGATTATTTTCTATGAAGACACAGCTGATATAATTACAAGTCTGCAGATATGGTTCCCTCATAGCGTAATTAAGTTCCCCACAGAGTTGTATTATTTTGGTTAATAAATGTTTACTCAAACTCCCAAAGTGCACCTCACTGTCTGAAAGAGGTCATATATACTGGAATAAAATAAAATAAAATTATGGATTGGTAGAGTTTGGTGAATAAAATATGACCACATATGGGAGCGGAGGAGCAAAAGAGTTTTTGATGGTGGATATTAGGACAGAAGGACGATAAAGATGTAAGACAAACAGAAAGGTTCAGTTTGTTTGCTGTCACCGAACATCGTAGAGCTTTGCAATTTCCTCTTTCATCTTTGCTCGCTCCGGCCTCCTTCCTCCATTTTTCTTTTTTATTATTCAACCATCTCACTCTGCTCTGCACTTTCTGTGTATTCACTCCACCTCCTCCCACCTGTGCCACAGTGGAAGCCCATTATTTTACTCTCTCCTCTGTGCTCGCACGCACACGCACACAACATTTCTTACTCGCCCACTCTCTCCCCCACGTCTTACTTTCTAGCTCAAGTCCCGCATCATCCGCTGGCAGATTGACAGCTGTGTGTATTCACTCGTGTACCTGTGTGACTCACTGGAGCGCCACAGGCAGATGGGCATGGGGGGGAGGGGGGCATTTACGTATTGTTTTTCCATTATCTTATTGCAACCTATGCTATAAAGCCAGAGGGGTTGCCTAGGAAACTCACATCCGCTCTCGTGGTATATGGCTGTTTGCTTTTGTAAGTGACATCAGCAGTGGTCATTTCCTCTGTGTAAGAAACAACACTGGCCAGCTGCTGTCAGGGGTCACTCAAAGGAGAATTGATTCATCTTTTTATAACCGACATACGGCAGGTTAGCCCTCCCAGACCCAAGGATCTAAGGACTGTGTTTTAAATATCTTTAAGCTTTGAGAGAACAAGTAACAAAAAGACATATGTTAGAATTCTAGAAGCTTGAAGAATAGAACCTGATGTTAAAGTCGAACTCGGTCCTAAGTATGCATGAAAGAAGATTTTATTTCCGTTGTCTCTTTCTATGACTGAATGTCAAACAGAGTTGACAGCTGTCCCTTAAACGTGCCTGACTTTTCCACTGGCCAGTGATGTGATGGACGTCCATTAAAAAAAAGAAAGCAAGCAGTCTGATTTTACAGGGTGCCCTTGACACTAATCTGTCTCTGCAGGCTTTACGCTCCACTGCGTCGGCTGATAGCGAACATTAGCTTGACTGAACGCAAACAGAGCACAGGGGGAAAGCTCAGGTAACTCGGAGACAGAGAAATGTGCGCATGTACGTCCAGCTGGTTAATGCAGCGGATGGGTGGAAACCTACACCTTTTATCCGCATGTTAGCTACACATGTAAGCAAAACAAGTTCAAACATTGGTGGTCAGTAATCTAGATTTGGCAGCTTTATCGATGATTTCAAGTGACTGCAACAAAAAAAGGCTTCAAAAAACTAAAATCCACTCAATAGCTTTTGAAGATCTTCATCAAAATTATGGTCAAAATTAGAAATCAACTCTTATCCAACAGTTTTAACAGACACAAAAAATTGTATTATGATTTTAAGGCAAACAGATCAACAGTTATTAGGTAAAACATGTTAGTTTCCATGACCTGTTAATGCCAAATGCCCAGTTTGTTTCTGCTGTTTGTTTGTGTGCTGATAAAATAACGCAGTAACTCTTTAGTGAAACTCTTTCCAGTAAAAACTGGGAAAAATGATTTAAAAAAAAAGGAATAGAAATGGAAACCATATGGTTCTTTAAACAAAGCTCAAGTTAATGAATTGTTTTTAAAAGTCGACCTGATAGCTGTGATCCAGAGGTGCCACTGCAGAGATGCAAACATGAGCTTGCAATCAGCGTGACAAATGTTAAAACTGCATTAGAGCTCTGATTGAATCCAACAGAAGGAAAACAGAGAAGAAAGAAGAAAAAGTAAAACATCACTGTGTCTGTGCTGCGCTGCTGATCTGATCAAATAATGATGTTGTCCAAGCTCACATTAGAAGCCCCATGGGACTTTTTATAGCACTCAACATGCCAACCACATTAAGACCTTGAATTGCAGCTGGAAAAAGCCAATAAATTGACTTTGTGCTACTTTGTCATTACCATTACCAAGATGAAAAATGATCTGTCAAGATCAACATTACTGGATTATGACGATGTCCTGCATGTACATAATATTATTTACCACAAATAGAGCAGGATCTTCAAGGACTTCTGCCATCTATTATACAATCCTTTGCCTCCCATTAAATCGCTGAGAATCTCCAACCGTTACACAACATTAGCATTACGTTATGTCTTACCCAGATAGGACACTCCGTCCTCTGGCGTGATGGTGCCGTACTTCACCATCATTTTGACAAAGTCAATCAGAGTCTTCATGATCGTGATCAGCGTCTCTCTTTCCTGGGTGTCTTGTTCTGCAACAGCAGAGCAGAAGACAAATCGCAAACCGGTGTCTAATAATGGTAACTGCCTACCGTGGCCTTTATGTGACCACATGTTGTTTGACTCTAGGGGTTATAATGATTGGATTATAAATAATTAGTTTTGTGTGTGTGTGTGTGTGTGTGTGTATTTGATCTGCACTTCCTAGATCTGTAAAGGGAAAAATGGTGAACAAAACAAGCTGCACCTCGATCTCTGAAAACAACATCACCAAGATTAACAATCTAACCCTGTTCTCGATCTGAAGAACTGCTATCTTGGGGTGGAATTGAGTGTAACAAAGATATTTTTGGGTGTGGTCTAACGCATCACAGAGACTTTGTGGACATATTTGTTTTTGTACCTGAGTTGAGACTTTTAAGCAGACGGTAGAAGTTTGGGAAGTACTGCAGGTCCTGGAGCCCATCTTCAGGGCTCACCTCATTACCGTCGTCAGCATCCCTGTCCCAGACGTTGTCCCCATCTTCTTCCGCATCTCTGTCCACCTCGTCTTCAATCTCATCATCCTCCTCATCCTCATCCTCCTCGTAGCGCCTCCTGGGTGGCTCCCATGTGTCCTGAAAGGGTGTTGTTTTTTGTTATTGTTGTCATCCTTATTCTTATTATCATTACATTCACCATTTTTTTGGAGGTTTTACCGCATTTGTGTCAGAATCCTCATCATCCTGAGCACCTCTAGCTTCTTGGTCAACGTCCTCAATCTCGTTGTTTTTGGCGTTTTTGGTGATGAGATCCTGGAGAGCCTCTGCCACCTTGTACTCCAGAGTATCTGCCTGATTTTCGGTGATCTATAAGACAGCAAAGTGAAAGAGGCAGGCTGAGAATGATTGTGTGCGGTAAGAAATGGACTGTAAGATGGATACTGGTGGACTGGTGATAAAACTCCATATATCACGTATTGATCACTATCACTGAGCTCTCCGTCTCAGGGAGGACTGAAAAAGTTTTTATTGACTGGCAAAAAGCAAACAAACAAACAAAAAAAAGCAATTCACAGCCAAAATGGTGCAAACACAGAACAATTCACACGTCTCTAAATCTTAACCCATGAGGAAGCAGCGAGCGCACAGAGAGGGAGAGAGAGAGAGGGCTCCCGCTGAGAAAATGCCATGCGGCGTGCTGTGCTGAACTGAATGATGGAAGCTTACAACTTACCAGCCCCAGTTTGAGCAGTTTGGAGACGATCCTGTCGAACACTCCCCTGTCGTCTTCCTCGTAGATCTTATTCGCAATCTTCTGAACAATGGCATCAGCCGTCAGCGGGGTGCCGTCGATTTGGCGGAAGCTTTCTGGGTCGTCTGAAAGGAGAGGACACTCGTGTTATCGTTTGGTAGCTTTCTCGAGACACTTTTTTAGCTGCTTTAATGTGTGCACTACATCGACTAAAGATCCTTTTCTTTCTTCACTTCTTCACTTCTTTACTTTGATTCAACTTTTCTGTTTTTCTTTTTTCATTTTCACAATAAAATGTCAAACCTGGACCTGGAAACAAGTCTCTCTTTTATTAGATTTGCTAGTAAAAAGTTGTTTTCCCTCTCCTCACATTCACCATATCTCTGCCTCTATTACTGAGCACGAAATGTGCAATTTTTACAGCTTGTTCTCTTACATAACATCCTCTGCTGCTTCTCAAAGTCCAAAGACAATAAAAATAAGCATCGACAGGATGCTTGTGCCTGCACTGGCCTGACTGAATCATCGCTGATGCATTTAGCCTTCAAACACCAGGAACCTATTTTTGCTTCACGCTGCAAAATGAGAAATGAAATCTAGACCACACTTGCCAAATATAGCCACTTTTCATTGTTGGACTTTATGCACAAATCAATAAAGGACGGCGCTCAGTGGTTTGTGTCAGAGTCACCTCACCTCAGAGACAGCTCATATGCTGATGATAAAATTACATGCAGCCAAACGTGTGCACATCTGATAAAGTCCAGTGAGACAAAAAAAAAACAAAAAAAACCCCCCAAATATAAATGTTGAGAAATGTGTTTTGGCTAAATTTACAAATATTAAAAGAGCAATGACAGCAACTGGGGATGAATGCATTTTACATCACGTCTTAAGTCAAAGCCAGAGCAGTGACAGGCATTATTTACATGGGACAGAGATGAGATACTGCACTAATATTCAACCATGCCAGGCTATGTGTTCACACAGCTTCCTGTGAAGAAATTAAAGAAGAAGCCAGCACTGTAGCTGAACATCAGCGTTCACAAACGCAGTCAGGGAGAGGATAATCATGCATTCACATATTCTCTCTCTGACTCTTGTCTCTGCTCATCCCCATCACACACTCATGTGTTTATCCTGCCTGCTCTTCCTTAAAACGCCTGCCCGGTGTCCTGCCAGCGAAAGGACAGAAGCACGCAGCGTGAAGCCTGCCTGTAGCAAAGGGGCCAAAGTTACAGTGCATGAAATCATGACAGCGTGTACCCTGGTACTTGCCGTAGTCCATCCCGTTCTTGGTGGAGTCATAGTCCTCAGCGAGACGTCGGCTCTTGGTGGAATCTGACTCGTCAGGAATGTACTGATCGTCCTTCTTATTGGCAGGCACCTCGGTGGTCTCCTTTGATTTCGGGCCTTGAGCCAGCGACTTGAGCATGGTGAAGTCATCGTGGTTCTGCTCTGACTCTGTTGGGCAGAGGAAACAGAAAAGGGGGGTAAAGAAAAGTGAGCGCTAAAGATGAACTCATCTTACATTACTGTGGCTGCAGCAGTTTTTCTTCTCAGTACGGATGAATTCTGTTTTACTGGAAGTGCTGCAACATGATTCCACTCGGCAGGCGGAAATAAAGTCATTAATTGATTGGCAATAAGGTTTCCCCTTACCAGCTGACTGTACTGCAGCCTTCACGCTGTCCGCCTCTGCGATCTGAGGAAATTCAAAAAATAATTTCCACTCAGGATATAAGCTCTGATTAATAATGTTTGCCGGGTTAATACCCCAGTTATTTGCCAAGTGGCCATAAAGCTCATTTGTCCGGATATTGGAGGAGAAAGGAGCTTACCTGCTCTTGCAGAGGTCTTTCTTCTGTCAGCTGTCTATTGTACACAGTTTTATCTGTGCCAGGAAAAAAATGCATGCAGTTACTAAACAGCTGGATTGTCCAGACTTTATTACTGACAGAGCCAGATTTGAAATGTTAATATAAAATCAATGCTGTGAAATACTTGTACAGGAGGCTCAAATGAACAGTATAGAAAATAGATATATTTAATATTATAGTGATGCTCATCCTATTCTTAAATTATAATCCCACATAGATTTTGTTATACTCCCTTTGTCCTATATTACAAATAAGCAGCCTGGCTGTCGATGAGGCTCATCTCAGAGCCAAAAAACTGTAACAAGAGAAAAAAAGGTGAAAAACAAAGGATAGGTCACTGTGTTACCAAAGGTTTCCTGACCTTTTAAAGGTCTCCCCAGAACAGTGAAAAGTCACCCAGTACAGGGGTCAACACGAAAAAAATTAAAAAATAAAATACAAACCAATAGATAACTAACAACTGTACAACCAGTAAGATAGTTAAACATGTCTCATTTAAAAAAAACTAACTTTATTGAATAAATGCGTAGCCTTCATGCGTCCCTGCTCTCCTAACTCGCCACCGCACAAGCACAGCTTAATCGGATTATCAAACAAAAGATTAAAATGCAGCGAAAATAGACCACAAGCGGCCTCGAGCCAGGCGCCTTTAGAAACACCACCGGTCAGGCACTGCCGAGCTGGACCTTAACTTTAGGGAGTCCGCTTTTTGTTTATTTATATACTCATTATTGTGCTGTTATGATTTATGAATCAACAGATTTAAAACTAAATTTAACCTGGAGCTCTAAAACGTATAAAACCCACAGAAATATCAACTTAGTAGGATTTTTTTTGGATTTTTTTTTTTAACATTTCAACAACCATGTGCTTAAATAAAGACTTCCATTGTGGACTACTTTGTGGCATTTTATAAAATCCCCTAAGCAATCACTGCTCCACCAGCCCGCAGACTGAGAAGAGAATTCCACGATTGGTTTCAACTCACCGTCCGCTGAGGCTGGTGTAGGTGTGGGGAAGGCAGATGTCTGGCTCACTACATTCAGGGCAAGAAGCTGGAAAAGGACGAAAAGGCCAACGTGTTTTGACGCCATGGTGATAATAACTTGTCTATTTTTCCTCGGTGTCCCTGCTGTCCGGTTTCCTCCTCCCCAACAAAAGTGCTGAATGTGTGGACAGCTCCGCTGCGCTTCGGCCGGCCGATGGTGCTGAAACTGCCGCCCTGAGGAACCCGCTTCTGCCTGACGTACCGGGCGGGGTCGGGGCTGGTCAAGTCTCTCCACTGGAGCTGTTGACGAGCCGAAGTGCTGAAAACAGGTCACGGTCTCTGTAATTATAACCAGATAAGCAGGGAGGCTCTCCAAGCCCCGTGTGAGCTACAGCATCACCTGCTACGGCAGTAAAAGAGCCCACTACAACAAGACCTGCCCCCTTCTGCCTTTACTTAGGAGGAGGAGGGGGAGAGAGAGGGAGGGAGGAAGAGGAGTTAAACACTGTAAAAAGTGTTGATGTGCACGTGAAGTCCACCTACATATCTTAGAAGTTCTCCATTAATAATGCGTGGAAGCAAGGGCGATAGTTTCACACACACTGCTGCAAAACGTGAGAACAAGTTAAGATTCTGCTGTGTGGATATTTGATGCGTTTATGATCATCAACCACTTTTAGTGGGGAAAAAATCATCTAAAACACGCGAGACTGCGCTGAAAGTAAAGAATATTTATGTAGGATCAGATAATTAATTGATAACACATAAAACTGAAGAGAAGACGAAGCAAAGCCGTAAAGCTGAGTATGATTTTTTTGCAGCACATGAGCAGTGGGGGGTGACCCCGCCCACTCCGTGCGTCATCCACAACCTGCGTCATGGTTGTAGATCTTCTTGTCAATAGCAACCGCTATTAAAACAGCATTTGAGCACATAAACAAAGGGTGCACACGCACATCAGGCTCGTTTTATGACCGCTGTCCTTTGGCCGCTAATTAGATTTAGGCTTGTTTCATGAAGGAACCAGCAGGTGGTTTGAAGTGGTATAACAAAATGAAATACTTGGATTTTAAAGTTCTTGCGAAAAAAAAATGAGTGCAGGAGATAAACTTCATTTGTTTTGCACTTAATAGTTCAAATGGTTCATCCAAAAAATCAGATGCCATCCTGAAAGCTGTCGGTCTGCAGCGCACTCATATTTCACATGTCACAGTGTGAAAGCAGCGGGCTGTCTGGATGCAACCAGACAGTCATTAGGAGCATATGAGCTGGATGATGTGGCCTGTCACTGCTAATCCTCCGGCTTTAGCTTAAAGTGCATCCCGGTCAATAATTGGACAATTTTTCTTCATGTCACATCATTCATGTTTGTTGGTTTGACAAGCTTCAATGTTATTCTTTAGGTTGGCAAACCTAAAGAATAGGTTTGATAGGCTGACTTTCTCCCCTCACAGGACATTAGGAGGGAACCTATGAGATCTCTTCCTTGTTAATACTTGGTGCTACTGGTTTATGTGTTTGTCTGTTGTTAAAATTGTTTGCTTTTCGTTGAATTATATATAAAAAATACAACATGGTGTGGTATAGGTCAATATTCTTTTTTTCCCTCTCACATACTGGTTTGTTAGGAAAAGCAGGTGTTCATTTATTGCCAACATTATCAAAAGGTAAACATAATATCTAGTTTGTGTTCATAAAATATTTAATTTTCTTAGGCTTAAACTGAGAGGAATAATTTTTAACAGTAAACAGTATGCACTGTACTGTGCAAAGACATATGTTTTTATAATTTTCTTGGAAAATAGGTAATAGGTGTCATAGTTTATTAAAACATGTAATCATACATTGAACTACAGCATTTGAGAGTTTGTACAAGTCTTCAAAAAAGCTTAAAAGTCAGCATTTGACCACCTTTTTTCTTCAACACACTGTGAACTCTCTTAGAGAAGTTTATTTGCCATGTCTTCAAGCAGTCTTCAGGAATAGTTCTCCAGGCTACTTGAAGGACATTCAAAGCTCTTCTTTGGATGTGTGTACCTTTTGTTCTGTTATCTGTCAGGATGATCCCACACTGTATGTTGAGGTCTGAGCTCTGGGGAGGCCAATTCGTGACTGTGTGTTTTTATCAAGATATGCTTTTACTGCATTGACACTTTGTTTGGGATCATTGTTAAAAAAGAATCTGTTCCCTGTTGTCCTTCCACAGAGATCATTTGTGACAAGGCTTCAGCAAATAGTAGATGAATCAAATGAAGCATCTCTCGGGTATTTTTCAGGTCTTTCTTTTCCTCTTAAAGACATGACTTTCAGGTACTGTTTACTGTAAATGTCGGTGTGCTGCTTCCTCTTCTGTCCTCCACTTGTCCAATTTACTGAAAATGTTCAAGGACACACTGCACACTATATTGAGAAATGCCAAGTTTTCAGCTAATAGTCCAAGGAACCAAACAAAAAATGATCAGGTACAAGGACCGGACTGAAAATGAGTAACAAAGCAACCAATGTCCAAAGAAGAACTTTGAACGACCTTTAGAAAGCCCACAGAACTATTGCTATATTAACCACTTGACAAAAGCAAATAATGAAAAACTGAGGAGTATCTCAAGACTTCTGAATAGAATTGTATGGGCTGGGTGAAAAAACAGAGTTACAGAGACTAACAAAGATGTGCTCCGTTAACCTGTGCAGCACAGCTGTTATACTGTATTGCAGTTTAATGTGAGTTCTAGTTCTCTGTCTTCTATTTGAGGGCATCTTATTAGTTTTTCTTATCACTTTTATTCATCACAGTGCAGATGCTTTAAAGCTGTAGCACTGACCCTGCTACATCACGGTGCTCATTGCGGTACAAAATAGGATGTTTGCCACCTGCTGTGGGACGACTGCACTTCCTGTCCTCTGGCTGCCTCAGCAGTCTCTGAACAGGAGCGCTGCCAACACCAGATTATACAGTATGCTACACTCTAACAGACCCCCTCCAGTCAATATGATTTAATCATCTAAGCAATGAAAAGAAGAGATTGAGGATGTACAACAATCACTTTATTTTGCTCATAACTGCAAAAGAAAGTAACAACAGCTATTTCTTTGTGAATTTTTTCTACAATCCCCCATATTTGATTTACCCCAACAAACCTTTTCTCTTTTTATCTGTTAATTGGCATGGACAAAAAAAGTAGTACACTAGTGACACCTTGTGTGTGGTAGCTCTAATTACACCCACCGTCCTTAATCCCATAACCCATAACTATTCTGAAACCTAGCACTCGTTACTGATTCAGAAATACTATTCATTTTGCACGTTTTTTGAACAAAAGACAATTGTACACATGATCCAGATGTTTTCTGCTGTATTTGTGGATGCTTCACAAAAACCAGGGACAGTGACAGATTTTATTAAAAAAAAAGAAAAGAAGGTATACTCTGCTTATTTTGGTAGTGAGACACCAGAATCACATTGATGATTGCCAATTCTACTAACTTGCCATCAGCTCTGAGACCCGAAGATCTGAAGATCTTTTGTCTCCATCGATCTAGTAATGAAGACTTTGAAGTTTGTTTTTAGAGGCATCGTTAGAAAGATCTAATTCCATTATGTGAAATGGACGATGTATCTGTCTATAGCTGAGGTTCTTTTGTGGTCGGTGAGTTGTGAGCATGATGCAGATGAGTGGAGGCTGACAGGTCAAAAGCCAGCCTTAAATTACAGTGTCAGTCTGTGCCAGCTGGTCATTCTGTCCAATTAAAAGAAACCTGTGAAAATATGCAAATTGTGTTGGAGAAGCTTAAATACAACAAGCACAAGTGAATTGTATGTGGGGAAAAAAACTGATTGTGATTTTGTGACAAAACAGAAAGTGATTGAATACTTTTATTAGAAATTTTATTTTGTGATGCAAAATATTTTCAACCATTTATGGAAAATATTTAGTAGGAAAAATATCTATGTCCATATTTCTGACGGATTATTCCAAGAAGAGAAAGAAAAATTGAAACTGTACTTGACTCAGCTCCAAATGTACAATTAGAGTACAACTGGTAAAGATGACTCAATGCAAGTATAGTTGAACATTTTATTACTCTGCTATCTTATGTTCTTGGAGCAGCTGTAAGCATCCTCTGTCAGTGCGCCCCAGGGCAGCTGTGGCTACAATGTAGCTGCCATCACCAGTGTGTGAATGTGTGTGTGAATGGGTGAATGACTGAATGTAGTGTAAAGCGCTTTGGGGTCCATAGGGACTAAGTAAAAAGTCCCTATGGACTTAAATACAGGACATTTACCATTTATTCTGATTCTGGTTTTGAACAACGCATATGATTATAAAAAGTATATACAAAAGCTTTTTACTGCATTACTTCAGTGATGTATAGTGAATATGCTGCCATCGTGTGTTTGTTGAATAAAACACAACTCATGTTATTTTTTGCCATTCATGCTAAACAGAGCTGTGAAACATATGAGCCTGAAATGAGCTTTTCACTTTGATTTTTTCATTATGAAAATATAAAGTATGGTTTTGTCGTTCACTGAAAGCCTTACAGGTCTTATAAACTGTGATCAGTGACTAATCTCAACTAACCAGTAACTAACCTCTGCTGAATTACCTGTAGCAAAGTCCTAAAATCATGCAATTTTTTAAGTCAGTGTTTAAAAATGAAATATTTTCCTTGTTTTTAAATTTGGAGTATAACTTTATGATCCAAATATTGGTGTCTAATAAATATTTAAAATAGCAAAGAAGTTTAAGGTGAGTTCCAATGTGGGCTACCCCCAATTCAGGACTGCACTCAACATCTTGGACCCACAAACAACGGTTAAAATGTATGAACGCTAATGTGACAGAGTTGGGGTGTCTTTCTTCTTGGGTCCTGTGGATCGAGTCCACCACGGCTCACAAACATTCTGAGGAAAATCACGGGGAGTTTTTTAAACAGCCTAAATATAAATCTAGTAAGAAGTCCTCACTTACAAGTGATTCTCAGAGAAACATTGAACTAGAAAGCGTCTGAAACTCCTGTGACACATTCATTCTTTCAGCTGTTTGGTTAAAAAAGGAAAGCTCGGGGTTACCAACACAGTTATCTATTTACATGCTATTGATTATGATTACATTTTTTTACTGTGCAGTTGTAATGTTGGTAGCTTCGCATGCCCCTTGTGTTCAACCCCAGCTACACTTAGAGACATCCTCACTGCCTCCAACATGAGCCTCCCTCGTGGCAGGTTTACCTGGACGCACAACTAACTGGGGAAATCTCTGGTGTCTGGTGGGTGCTGTAGATAACTGATGTGGATGAGGAGTAAAGACCCCAGCAGGACCCCGAGATTTCAGGGATACAAACCAAGGTCTGATCAGCATGTAATGGGCCAAAAGGCTGAAACATCCAATTATGCTGAAGAACACAACTGAGGATTTCTCCCTAACATTTGTGACTGGCT